CAGGTGAAAACAAATAAAACACTTCAAAGGAAAGAGTAACTATGCATCCTAAAGCACTCAGCTAATTATCCAGTGAGGAGCAGGTGTAAACAAATTGCAGGAGAGGCAAGCCTGGAGGGCATTCATGACTCACAGTGTTGGCTCCACAGGTTCACAGCATGGAACTGGTTAACCCCAGGATGCCCTCTGCAGGACCCACACCTCAGGAGGTCAGCACCAACCAAGGTCACAGGTCCTTGGACCTGGAAGAACTGCATCACCAGTGCTTTGTCCGGGCCTCAGGGCTGGGGACCTGGTCCCCAGGTCAAAGCACAGCCCTGACGGTGTGGACTCTCCAAGAGGCCAGGATGGACAGTCGCTGTCACAGACTACCCACCCTTAGCCATTCTGGCCCCTCCCCCCAGGCTGTTTATCTTCCTTACTCCCTCTGCAAAGGAATGCCTGTTATTTCCTGCTTTCTTTTACCAGGGGATTTCAGATGAGGGAGGACACACTTCCGGGGAGGGAGCATCTCACCACCAGAGGACAAGACTGTTGATGTACACACAGCACACTGGTGACTGGCTTTGACCTGACTCTCACCAATCACATCCTGCAGAAATACATGCTCAAGAAAAGGATGCCTGGCCCAGCTGGAAAGAACTGGGTAGAGAAACCTTGGTGGCACACCTGCCAGAGGTTACCACAGCTCAGGTCAGCCACCTCCTGGGAAGCAAGTTAGCAGCTGTCCTAAAAGGAAAGAAACTTCTACTCCTGTGGGGAAACTGCAGGAAAGAATACCCTCCGCCATTGGAAGCCAACAATGGGCGCTGCCTCTGCAGGGACCTGAGAGACAGTGGGAACTGGAAACGAAGGACCAGGAATGCTTCTGAGTCATCACACTGAGACAAGGACCGGCTCTGCACAGGATTCTACCACCTGCTTTCATTCTCTTCTGTCCCAGAAGGAAGCCCAGCAAGGCCCGGGACTTCCCCAGCTCCCAGCCCACAGCAACCATGGCAGTTCCCTGGAACACCCACAGCATGCTGCCAACAGATCCCCTATGCAGCCTGGAGGAAAAGAGCTGAGAAAAGCTGGTTATCTGCCCTTCTTTGAAGCCACAGAGAATAGACATTTCTCCAGAATGTCAGGGACAGACTTCGCTGCAGGGTCCTGGCCAAAGGCCGTCCTGAGTGCAAGCCACCTTTGAGGACACGGTAGACTCAAGGTTTCCAAACACTGAGCCAAATGAGAGGGCCTGCAGTCATGGCTTACCTGGGTGTGCGCTTTCCACCCTCACAAAGTCACTTTCTTGACTGTAAGGACAGACGCTGACAGCAGCTACAGGAGGAACTGTGGACCCCGAAGCAAAGTGGCAGGTACCACCTAAGGCAGCACCGCCACCTCTCAAAACAAAGCAAATCAAAGCTCTTATTTCCTAACACAGAATCTATGCCACTCCTTTGCTTTAAAAAAAAAAAGCAGCCAAAGCTCCACCCTCTGCTGTCAGGACAAGGTCCAAGCTCCCAGGCCCGAGTGCCAGCAGGCCCTTCCCCACCCGGCCCTGCCTGCTCTCCCTGCAGCTTCTGGGCCCCCGGCCTCATCTCCCTTCACTTAGCCGGGCTGAGCGCAGGTCCTGTGCTGCAGCACCCACTCTCCCAGACTCACAACGCTTAATTGGACTGATCTTTGAAATCTCACCTGGGCATCCTCCTCCACAAACATTCCCTGATCCCAGCCACGTCTGTGCTGCTTCTCTGCCAAGTGTTGCCCAACCAGTCTGACTCCAGCATTGGCCTGAGCCTCAGTGCCCAGCGCACAGTTGGCATCCAGAGTTCACGGACACCTTTCCAAGGCCCTACACACCGCCTGCCTCACTGTGACAAGTTTGATGAGCGGCTGGTGTGGTAGAAGATAAATCTAGAACTGAATTCTCAATCGAGCAAGCCAATTTTCCTTTAACTTAGGATGCATTTTCTTCCCAACAGCTCTCAGACTTTTTCTTGAGAGAAAGAACACGTGGGCACTTTCCAGATGCAGTAGAATCAGGGGTCGCTGAAGCTAAGACGCTCCACGCCCACAGCTGGACAAGCTGAGCACCCACAGGTGGACTGGGCCACCTTTCACTCGCTGTTTAGCATTAAACCACACAAGGCTGATCAACCATCAACCAGCTTGTGACTGTTTTCCAATCACAAAATGCCCTATTTGTCCCTTGAGACTTGTTTATGCTAAAAGACACAAATCTTAAACCAACAAACACGGTATTTTGAGGCCCAGTGCGATGGCACAGTGGTTAAGGTCCTCGCCTTGCACGCCCAGGATCCTACATGGGCGCCAATTCTAATCCCGGCAGCCCCGCTTCCCATCCAGCTCCCTGCCTGTGGCCTGGGAAAGCAGTCAAGGATGGCCCAAAGCTTTGGGACCCTGCACCCGCGTGGGAGACCCGGAAGAGGTTCCTGGCTTCGGACTGGCTCAGCTCCAGCCGTTGCAGCCTGGGGGAGTGAATCATTGGATGGAAGATCTTCCTCTCTTTGTCTCTCCTCTCTGTATATCCGCCTTTCTGATAAAAATAAATCTTAAACAAATAAACAACAACAACAACAAAAAAACCCACGGTATTTTATATTTTAATCTCTACCAAAGGCAGTCTATTTTTATTTTTATTTATTTATTTATTTTATTTATGTTTTTCATTTTTCCTTGATGAAATGGAAATAGCTGTTCTCCAACTGTCCCCCGACTGTGGATGCTAACCTCTCTCTGGGGCAAACAGGTAAAGGAGGGGTGTTACAGATGCTTAAGTGCTTCCTGCCCAAACTAAAGCCAAAACCAGTCTGTTTTGACTATCTGCAGTGTCTTGCAAAGTTAGTTTTTCACTGAATGTCATGACTTAACACTGAGCACTAGGTATTCTGGATTTACAGGAAACAGAAGTCCAGCATGGTGGAAGCCTAGCTGCAGGGCTGCAGTGAGAGACCCACTTTCCGAACTGATCACTCCCCCCTCCCCAGTCCTGTCTCCACCTAGGTTTCAACTGGTGGTGGTGGTGGTGCAGGTGGACGCCGACACATTACTTCAACCCCTCCTCCCTGGCTGCCCTTCTCCAAAAGCGCCTAGTCTGGAAGACCCCTTTGTGAACCATGAAAGGAAACAAATTCATGAGACCCTTCAAACGGGAGCCCAAAGCAAACACGGTACAACCGAGAGGCACCGTCCAATGCCCAAGCCAGCCCCAGGTTTCCAAGCAGGCAAGAGGCAAAACGAAGGACCCAAACCAAAAGTCAGGCAGGCGTGGCGTCAAAAGTCAGCACTATCTGCGTGACCTTGAACACAGCAGCCTCCTCCCTGTCTTATCTGTAACAGAAGATGATGCTACCACAGGATTCCATTACAGAAAGGACATCTGGGGCAACAATGTTTCTATACACTGAAACTCAGGCTGCGGAAAGGCAGACTGCACACAGACCCAAGTTCAATCTCTCCTCTCTGCACTTGGGCGGTAAATTAGGACCTGGAGTTGCTGATCTCCAAAGCAACCTGTCCATTCTGGAAAATGAAAACAACCCTATGGGGGTTTCAGCTGAACCCTAATTCCTTTCTGTTCCTTTCACTTTCTATTTCCTTGGCATGATACTCAACATGTAAGGAAAACCAAAGGAAGGCTACAACCCCCGGGGGCCAGGGGGGATCGAGGATCCTGTTGGAGTGCCACCGTAGGCCACGTGTTATTCAGAAGTGGGGCTGGGTGGTTAATTCCTACTAGCGTGGTGGTTCGAAGCCTCTAACGTGAAAAACGTGCGTCTCAGGCACAAAGTCAAGGTGAGGTACAGCAGGCCCTCGTGCTGGCCAATGTGTGAATACCCAACACACCTGCGACCCAAGCAAGATGCCGTGCTCCCCTAACCGGGTCCTCCTTCCAAGTCTCCACTGTGCTCAGTGGAAAAAACATAAACAACCACAACAGGAATGCTGAACCAGCGGAAACAAAACTTGAAGCCAAGTTTCGACATTCCCGTAGCCGGGGACAGCGTGCCCGCCTCCTCCAGGACTCAGAGCAGCACCCACGGAAGAAAGCCCAACTCCTGCCGCACCGGACACCCGCCCAGCCCTTCCCAGCACGGGTCACGCGTTCATCACGGAACCATGCACAGACTCGTCACAGCCAACACATCCCGAACCCAACAGCGCAGCCAGTTTCTGCTCGGGGATAATTTTTTTTCCCCCCCGACTGTTCCCGGAGGCGAACCAAAAGTCCCACCAAATAAGGCGCACGGCCCCTTTCCTCCTCCCTTCTGTAGGAATGCGGCCCCTTCCCAGTTCGCACCCGCCGGGGCTGGTGGGGCTGAGAGGGGCTGCCCGCAGAGCTTTCGGTTGCTCCGGCGGGCTCCCCCCAGGGACCTGCCTAGCGAAGACTCCAGAGTAAAACTGAAAGAGAAAAGCCCAAACTCGCCCACCATGGCGCTGGGGGATTTCAGAAGAACGATCAGCGGCTCAAACACGACTCATTTTCCGGACCACCCCGCCCCCAGATCCCCACGCTCACCCTCCTTCCACCTCCAAGGCCGGCCTGGCCGCCCCCGTTCGCGCAAGCACCCCCCATGCCCCGCCACTGCCACACCATGTGTGTCCCTCATCACAGCGCAGGAACTTTAAAATGGTGCCTCGGGCGGGGTTGCGGGGGGAGGGCGACGGGAAAGAAGGGTGACCGGGGTTCAGGAGCGGCCAGCGGGCGCGGGGACCACCCCAGCAGGTCGTGGGTGGCGGGTGGGGAGCTCCGGAGAACGCGCACACGGGGAGGGGGGGAAGGGTGGAGCACCGGGCAAAGGTGGGGGAAGAATTGGAACGCGGCCCCTTTAAGAGGCCTTCACGGCGCTCAAGAACCAGGGACCTCTCCTCCACCCCCGGACCGGCGTAGGGGGCCCATCTTGGGGAAGAAACGTCCCCAGACCCGCTCCCCGGAGGCTTCCCTCCCGCCAGGTCCCGCCCGGTCCTGACCCGGGGCGGCGGCTCCTCCTTACCCCGCTGTCTGCCGCCTCCTCCCAGCTCTCAGCGACCTCCTCATCTTCCATCTTACTCGCCGCTTCCCCTCCTCCCCCCGCCCCTCCCCGCGCCTGCGCCCTGAAGCGCGCCGTCGTCGCAGGCGCGCGCACGCATACCTCTCCTCCATGGACCCGCCCCCTGCCGAGCCCGGAAGAGGCTCCCGGCCGGGGCCCCAAGGAGGCCGAGGCAGCCATGGTGGAAAAGGGCGTGGACGCTAGGAAGCTGCCATCTTTCTTAAGGGTATCGCGGTCTCTCACGTGGTAAGGATGGGACGCAGTCGTCGGGAGGCCGGGAAGTGAGTTGTTTGAAACCATGTTTTCTATGGGCAGGCGATGATTGACAGCTTGGCTTTTAAAGTGAGTCGGAGTTCTAAATTGCACAGTAGCGTTTCTTCGGAATTCTGGAAGCACTTTATATGATAATGAAAAAGATCTGCTGATGTGGGAAAGTTCACCAAAAATTCGATGGGAGGGCCCGACGCGGTGGGCTAGCGGCTAAAGTACTCGCCTTGCATGCGCCAGGATCTTGTATGGACGCTGGTTCTAATCCCGGCAGCTCCACTTCCCATCCAGCTCCCTGCTTGTGGCCTGGGAAAGCAGCGGAGGATGGTCCAAAACCTTGGGACCCTGCACCTGCGTGGGACACCCGAAAGAGTCTCTGGGCTCCTAGCTTTGGATTAACACAGCACCAGCCAATGGGATCAGTTGGGGAGTGAGTCATCGGATGGAAGATCTTCCTCTCTGTCTCTCCTCTTCTCTGTATATCTGACTTTCCAACAAAAAGACAATGAAATAAATCTTTTCTTAAAAATCCGATGGGATGAAAATGGTTACACTATTTCCTGCTGGTGAAGCAAGAGTTGGATCCCAGATCAGTGACATTGTCTCACTCACGGTAAGGTTGACACTGTTGCACCGGAACTAGAACTGTGTTAGATCTGCCGAGCACCCGGGAAGGAACATATCAGCTGAGTATAGAAAAAAATATAGATGACCTTTAATTCAAAAAGCCCAGTTTCACCCGCCTTTCTCCCCTGTAGCAGAGCGACAGACGTGAAGCAGGGAGCTACACAGGAAAGAAAAGACTTGGAAGAGACATGCAAGGGAGTTTTGAACCCCTCTTGACAGGGAAGCTGAAGTGGGGGGATCGCTTCAGCCTTGTTTGAGGGGAGTATTGGTTTGTGTCTGCTCACTGGTACACTACCTGAGGGCCCCGCCAGAATTCTGTGGTCCCTACCTGAGGCTAGAGTGACAGACCAGGCTCAAAGCAAGTTTGGCCTTCCTCCAGTAATCGTGGCAACCAGCAAACTGAGAAGAATTCCAGGCTCTGAGGCATTCCTGGATCCCGTACATTAACAGTTCCTTTACAAATTGTGGATGCGTCTTCCAAATCAGTCTTCCTTTATCACTTTTCTTCAGTATGGACGGGGAGAACGGTAAAGTTCTACTTCAGATGCCGGCATCTTTGTCATAGCAGGCTGCAAATTAGCTGGTGGTGCTGGCATACCATTTGGTCACCAGTAGCTGTCCCAGCAACTCCACTTGCCATCCAACTCCCTGCTGGCCTGGGAAAGCAGCAGAAGTTGGCTCAAGTTCGTGAACCATGGCACCGACGTGGGAGACCCTAAAGAAGCTCCTGGCTCCTGGCATCAGAACGTCTCAGATCTGGTTGTTGTGGAGTGAACCAGCACAGTGGAAGATCTTTCTCTCTGTCTCTCCTTCTCTCTGGTAATCTGTGTTTCCAATATTAATAAATAAATCTTTTAAAAAGACACAGGTGGTCATGATAGCTACTTCCAAGGTACTCTGTGAGGACTAAAGAGCAGTGATGCCAAAATAGCCTTCAAGATCACATCTGGCCCAGCATGGTGGCCTAGCAGCTAAAGTCCTCACCTCGAACACACCAGGATCCCATATAGATGGACACCAGTTGGGCCTGTCAGCGTGGCCTAGCAGCTAAAGTCCTCACCTTGAACATGCCGGGGTCCCATATGGGCACCGGTTCCAATCCCAGCAGCTTCACTTCCCATCCAGCTCCCTGCTTGTGGCCAGGGAAAGCAGCAGAGGACGGCCCAAAGCTTTAAGACGCTGCACCCGTGTGGGAGACCTGGAAGAAGTTCCTGCATCCTGGCTTCGGATCGGCATAGCATCGGCCGTTGCGCTCACTTGGGGAGTAAATCATCAGATGGAAGATCTTTCTCTCTGTCTCTCCTCCTCTCTGTGTATCTGACTTTCCAATAAATAAATAAATCTTAAAAAAAAAAAAAGATCAGTGCCACCAGTTATAATCCTGACAGCCCTGCTTCCCATCCAGCTCCCTGCTTGCGGCCTAGGGAACCAGTTGAGGACAGCCCAAAGCCTTGGGACCCTGCACCTGTGTGGGAAATCTGGAAGAAGCTCCTGGCTTCAGATCAGTGCAGCTCTAGGGAGTGAATCGAATCATCAGATGGAAATCTTCCTCTCTGTCTCTCATCCTCCTTTCTGTACATATCTGACTTTGCAAAAAAAAAAAAAAAAATTAAAAAAAAATCACATCTGATCTGCCGGGGCCCAGAGAACTGCCGAACAGCAGGAGTGACTCCATTTTGTTAATTTCTCACTTTGCAATGGTCTTGGAATGCAAGATCCAGTTATCCTTCACCTAGTTTCCTCGTAATCTTTCACCTGTAATTGTTCACCCAAGATAAGGGTTGTCATGGTGACCTCTGCCCTATGTGGCCCACATCCTGCTTAAAACTTCCCCCCCGCCAGCCTTTACCTGCTGCTTAAATACTGCCCGAGAAAATAAAGTTTTTGGAGCTTAATCAGACCTCCTGTCTTGCTCCCATTCTTCGTGTCTCCTGTCCCCCCCAATCGTCGATTCTCTCCCCAGGTCTCCGTTGAAGACCCCGCGGGCCGGGGCACTGATCCACAGTAAAAGTTCGAAAGTCTTAGCTATCATCATTATGGAAGTTTTCTTGTCCACACAAGGAATATTTATGAGTACACCTTACCACTCTCATAATTTTTTTTTTCTCCAAACACCAAATATCAAAAAGCAAATGTCTGTCATTGCTCTCAGTACTTGTTCCTGTAGTTTTCTTGGTGTTAGAAGCTCCCCATTCAGGTGTGCTGTGTGCAGGCTGCTGCAACCCGGTTATCCAACCTGGAGTAGGTTTGTCTCACGCGTCTAGTCTCTAAGTCTTCTTGCTAAAGTCACCTCTTGCTGCTGTGAGACTTTGCAGTGTGTATTGTTCATTATTATTATAAATGCAGACATGTTAAATGGTACTAGTCTTCATTCAGAAGTGAAGGTGGCAGAGGGCCCAACACAGTGACCTAGCAGCCAAAGTCTTCACCTTGAACGTGCTGGGATCCTATATGGATGCGGTTTTAATCCTGACGACCCTACTTCCTATCCAGGTCCCTGCTTCTGGCCTGGGAAAGCAACGGAGGTCGGCCCCAAACCTTGGGATCCTGCACCTGCATGGGAGACCTGGAAGAAGCTCCTGGCTCCTGGGTTTGGATCAGCTCAGCTCTGACCATTTTGGTTACTGAGAGAGTGAATCATTGGAAGGAAGATCTTCCTCTCTGTCTCTCTTCTCTATATATCTGATTTTGCAATACAAATAGATACATCTTTAAAAAAAATAAAAATGTGAAGGTAGCAAGCTGGCTGATTTTCTCCACTTTTTTCTACAGTCCTCCACTCTAGCAGCTGAGCTAGCAAAGGGTGCACTCCGCTTTTCTAATGTGGGGATTTGTGGAGGAAGCCGCGTACGACAGACTTCAGCTCCCATGGTTAGTCAGCAGCCTCAAGCTGGCATGATGTTTCCAGCTCACATCAGTAAGCTTTCTGCTGGCATCCCCACCTACATATTCCATTAACAGCTCAAATTATCCGACTGATTCTGCTACCCCGCCTCCCGCCACCTTCCAGGAGAGACAATTTGTTTTGGTCACTCTTTGGGAGTCTGTTCGCTCTCCCGGGAAGCCGCTCATTGAAGTGAAGCATTCTGAGCAAGATGGAGGAAACTACCAGGCATCGATCTCAATATTGTTCCTGAGATCTGTTTCCTTTTAACCCAATGCGTTTTTTGTTTGTTGTTTCTGTTGTTTTGAGATTGCTTTATTTTGACAATCTTTACATAGTTGATTAGGGCACAAAGGATCAAGGGCTACACGAAAGTGGGTCAGACTATTGTTTCCACATTATTGCTTTTTTTATCTGGATAAAGGAATAGATAAAGGCAGAAGCCTGACCCAGCCTCCCACCCATCCCAGGTCCCCGTGTGGGGCATGCTCAAGTGGTTTTGATAATTTAAGTTATTTTTAAAGAAGATTTATTTATTTCATTGTAAAGGCAGAGAGGAGGAGAGACAGAGAGCAAGATATTCACTCCCCAAGTGACCACAACGGCCAGTGCTGTGCCAATCTGAAGCCAGGAGCCAGAATCTTCCTCTACCCATGTGTGTGCAGGGTCCCAAGGTTTTGGGCCCGTCCTCGACTGCTTTCCCAGGTCACAAGCAGGGAGCTGGATGGGAAGTGAGATCCCGGCATATTCAACACAAGTACTTTAGCCACTAGGCTACAGCGCCTGGACCAATTCAACAGTTCTGAATTGCTGCCCATCTCACAACTCCAAGCATGATGAAATCTCTCCAGAATCCACTGGCTGACATAGTCTACCCTTAGAATCTCCGTTTGCCCAGTTTTTCACTGCCAAAACATGGCTGAGGTAGTTAATCCTGTGATACTGTGGAGATTCTATGCTAGCACTAGCTTCTGGTTGGTTCTGTCCTCCTTCTTCTGTTGTGGTGCCAGGTGTCTTCTGCAGGTTCCGATGGACTGCACCTGTCCACTGCTCGCTGTTTTGAGTCCCTCATTTTAGGCTTGTAGTCATTCAGTGCAACCAGCAGGGGGAGATAGTCTCTAACAATTTTGTTATCTAGCCAGCAGTCTTAACAAAGCCATTGTCAGATGAACATTTGTTGGGTAGAAATTTCTAAGACCTTGGAAATCCTTTGAGGATATTTCAGAGAAAATAGCTTTTCTTTCGTCAA